AGAGAGAGAGAGAGATACGGGGGGGGGGAAAGTATACGTAAGGACCATTTACTTTTAATACAAGGAGGTCACGATCATTCTTGTCTGTTAGATTTCAAATGGGGTGGTCGTGAGTATGTAATTGACTAGACTCAAAATTCAAAAAAAAGTTTCTCAAACTTTGTGATACACCCCAAGCACTCTAATTTTTCATTAAATGGATAGGAGCAATTATGGTTTCTTGTAGTAAACAATCCCATATATATACATATATATAAAACTGCGGCCCCTAGGCAATCTTGTTAAGCTTTTCCAAATCCCTCAAAATAGACATAGTATCTGTAACTTAAAACGCTAAAAGGCTTTGTTCCTTAGCCTTGTGCCATAATCGGCTAAGTAACCTGCATATATATAGGGATTGTATACTATATGACCGTTTATCTTAATTGTGATCATTAGATGTCTAGTTGGATGGCTTGGGCTTATCACGAAGTTCATGAAATTTTTTTTTGGACTTTGAGTCTTGTCAAAGACACAACTATGTGATTTGAAATATGATGGACAAGATTGATTGTGATCTCCTTGTACTAAAAGTAAGTGGTCTCATTGTATACTCCCTTCCCCGTCTCCCGCTCGCTTCGTTATATATATATATATATATATATGGAAATGCTAGCGTAGGCTAGTGGGCCTGCAGCTACATATGAGCTCAACGGCTCAGATTCAATTTGGGCCGATCTAATGATCACGATTGCGTTTCGTATTTGAATTTTAAATATTTTTCTATAAATTCAAATCATTTGAAATTTTGGACGTGTTCTTTAAAAATAAGAGAATCCAATAAAAATATCAAAAGAATATTTCGTGAGAAATAAATTGACCAAAATATTTCTGAATTTTTTAGGGGTATTTTGGTCAATTTATATATTACGAATTAGTTTTTTAATATTTTTATTAAGTTAGCCTTGATGAGAAGAATAGACGCCTAAAATTTCACGTGATTTGGATTTGTAGAAAAAAAAATTCAAATTCAAATACAAAATGAGGTTGTGCCTATCAGATCAGCCTAGATTGAATTTGGGTCAATGGGCTCATATGTAGCTGTAGGGCTACTGGCCTACGCTAGTATGGAAGATGCTAGGGTCAGCTCACTTGTAGAAAAAAAATTCAAATTCAAATACAAAATGAAGTCGTGCTCATCAGATCAGCTCAGATTGAATTTGGGTCGTTGGGCTCATATGTAGCTGTAGAGCCACTGGCCTACGCTAGTATGGAAGATACTAGGGTTAGCCCACTAACTGATGGAATAGTATAAGTCCAACGACCCAGATTGAATCTGGGTCAATCTGACGTTCAGGACTGTATTTTGATAGTATAATATTTTTTATATTAATCCAAATAACATGAAATTTGGAGCATCAACTCTTTTCATTAAGGCACACCTAATAAAAATAATTTGCATAAAAGTTTTTGACCAAAATACCCTTGAAACTTTTCAAGGGTATTTTGGTTAATTTATTTTATGCGAATTATTTGTTTGAAGAATAGACGTTAAAAATTTCATGTGATTTGGATTTGTAAAAAAAAAATTAAATTCAATTACGATCATTGGATTGACCTTATTTTGGTTAATTTATTTTATGCGAATTATTTGTTTGAAGAATAGACGCTAAAAATTTCAAGTGATTTGGATTTGTAGAAAAAAAATTGAAATTCAATTACGAAATACAATTGTGATCATTGGATCAGCCCAAATTTAATCTGAGCCGTTGGGCTTATACTGTTCCATCAACCCATGGGCTGACAGGAGTTTTCCTTATATATATATATATTTATATTTATATAATATAACCATGTTGTGTAAGGTTTGTATTAGGTGGCCACCATATAGTATAAAGGTAAGGCACTCCTCTAAATTTTTTCGGAGGATGTAGTTTCAGTGTTGGAAACGTTACAATGACTTGAAAATCCATATTTAATCCTCGTTATAAAATTTTAAAAACTCTAGTGACATTGCAAATCGAGCAAATCTATACATACTTAAAAATAGATGGTCCAGATAACTTGTTACAATATATACTAGTTTTAGGATTCGAAATTTGTTTTTTCTTTATATTGTTACATCTCGAGGTTGGGATGATTAATAGGAAGGTTTTTTAACTTCAGAACACTTGTTCTTATTGGATTTTTGAGGTGCACTTCTATTCTATAGTATAAGGTTGCAACCATATATAATTTTTCTCTTCTATATATATATAGGGATTGTCTACAAAGAGATTATTTACCTTTTGTATAAGGAGGTCACAATTATTTCTACTCATTAGATGTCAAATTGGATGACTTGGGGTGAGTCATGAAGTCTGATAATTTTTTATTGGCACTTTGTGTGTAATCAATGACACTCTTACAATCACCCATTTTGAAATCTAAGGAGCAAGAATGATTGTGACCTCCTTGTACAAAAAGGATTGGTCTCTTTGTAGACAATATATATATATATATAT